CGGCCGACCGTCGAGGAGCGCGTCGAGGTCCACGTCGTTCGGGCCGCCATCCGAACCAAGAAGGAGGAAATGCCCCGAAATATCAAATCAACATCCTGTCGTGTCATCAAAATATAATATTGAACAGTTTTTATCCGGTTTCGTACGGATACGGGACGTATCGCGATCTTCCAGCGATGGTTCCTCGACGTGGCAGCGGCAGAGAGAACCTGCAGAGCCCGTGACCATTCTCTTGTCGGTCGCCGTCACGGTCAAAAGGTGTCAAGCTCGTGCCGAGGAGGACGGATGCTTGCGGAATTTAGCAGCGTCGTGGGAAGATCAAGGGCACAAGTACCCTTGGAGACAATCCGTACAACCAAGCGACCCAAAAACCCGCCCTTCAAGCCTCCACCGGGATGCATCGCAAGAACGCCATCGAGACCATCGCGCCGCACTGCGCTCTCGAGCCGAGAGTCCGGAACCCCGCGCAGCTTGCGGCCGACTTCTGGACCATCGACCTGAACGACGTCCAGGTGCTCACTAGTGGCGCCGCTCACCTCGGTGTTGTGGACGACAAGAGCCGGCCCGCAGGTCACGCAGCACGGAGGCCGGATCGTGTAAAACCTCGTAGTGACCGCCTGGCTCAATGCGTTCCCGACCAAGACGACCGCAGTGGCGTGCGACGAGTTCCTTGCTCGCGCTCGCTCGTTCATCGCGCGCTGCCCAAGTGAACGCGCGCCAACTGCAACCGATCCCAAGGCCTATGTGCCATCGGCGCCAAGTGCCCCGCCTGCGACCAGCAGCTCTACCTCGGGCCCGTCGTCGAGGAGTGCCGCTACGTGAACAAGGAAGCAGCGGGTGTCGGCTCTGTCCTCATGGCTGCCTTGGAACACCGGATGAGGATCCTTGAAGCGCATGATGCGGCTGCACAGAGTGATCGACAACCACAAATGGATTCCAACGCAATTCAGTGACGAGAACTTGGCCGTGCTCGAGCCTCTCTTCTACAAGCGCTTCAACGATGGACACGACTACAGGTAGGTCGCGAGACGGGCGAAGCGGGCGTGTGTCAACAGTTTTCCCTGGGCCCTTGAGAAACGGGCGTTGTGCAGCAAGATGAGCCACAGCGACGGCGTGTCTTACATCACTTGTTGCTTCATTATCGAGGTGTATTACATGCTGTCTTCGTTGAGGCCCACCGTGTACACGAGGGCGAGGCGGCCATACGACGCTTGGTTGCTCCAGCCGCCGTACTGGGCACGCAGGTGCAGCGAGACTTGGTTGCCCGGCGTCAAGAGCAAGTGGAGCACTGCTGGGTCCGTGACGTACTGCAGATGGTGGCGATAGCTGCCCGACGCGCGCAAATTGCGACAGGCCTCGCGACGCGGTAGCAGCACCGTTCCATCGGGCGCCGAGATCTGAAACTCGGCCCAGCTGTTGCAGCAATTGTACGAGCCGTTGAGCTCTGGCGCGTCCGTGGCCCAGCCCTGGTCGTGCGACGTGCACTCGATAACAAGCGCCGTGCAGCGCAGCAGCTCGAGTGCCGGATCGTCCATCGTGGGCACGGTGAGGCGCAAGTACTCGGTGTCGGCCGGCGCGTACTCGTATTCCTCGGCCGTCGTTTCAGCCTCAAACACGAGCACAGACCCAGACGCGTCGAGGATCGTGTTGGCCACGGCCACTGGAAGACCACGCGACACGAGGAGCGCGCCAGCTTGAAGGGTATCGCGGGGCGTTGTCGTGCTGCGCGTGGGCATGGTGGCGGCGACGGTCGGCGTGAGCTCGTGGACGTCGGCCAAGTTGGCCGGATTGACGAGCCAGATCGTGTCGGTGGGCGCGGCCGCCGGCGCCTCCACGGGCGGCTCGTCGACGTGCGTAAAGTCAAAGATGGGCGACGCACCTGGCGTCGGAAGGTACTGCGACTGCATGGGAATCTGCCAAATGAAGCACCCCTCGTGGCAAGGCTGGAAACACGCAACGGGTTTAACGTGCGTGTGTTGAAGCATATCCGGATACTGACGTCATTTAATGACATTGAATAAACCTAGATGTCCGGATATGGGCCTCTTCAACCTCATTTTGCTCGTTAAACCTCTACAACGAATGCTTCGCAGGGATCGCGGAGCGCAGTCCCATGGCTCCGTCCCAGGCGCAAAACACCGTTAAGCCACCTTGCAACCCCTTGAAGCTTCCATGAAAGGTACTAACTGTGAGGACCATTCCAAGGAGCTAGTCGAGGGCTAGTACAAGTCGAGGGCTAGTATACAACTCCTGTTGCCAATTGTAGACAGCTCACGGTATGCGGCGTGGGAGGGTTAACGATTAAACGACGGACTTGAACGCGTTAATAAGCTATGGACTACTTGATAGCTCACATCAGCACACATGCAGACGATGCCGGGGCGTCGACAGTAAAAGGCGGTCGGTTTAACGTCACCGCAGCGAGGACGGCCCGGGCGTCGACGTCTTCGCGCAAGGCCACTGACGCGACTACCGAGATGCGAGCGTACTGAATATGGTTGCTCCAGCCACCGTACTGCGCCCGCAGGCGCAGCGCAATCGAGGTACCGGGCGCGACAAGCGATAGCACGTCGTGCGCTGTGACGTACGTGAGGTGCCGGTGGTAGTGCTCGCACGCCCGGAAGTTGGCGCAGGACGTCCGAACGAGGTCGTGGCCCAGCACATTTTGCACGTGGTACTCGATCCAGCTGTGGCAGCCCACGTACGAGTTGTTGAGCTCTGGCGCATCCGAGGCCCACCCTTGGTCGCGCGAGACAGTCTCGAGGATGACGGCGACGGGGCGAAGGATCTCGAGGCCATCGCAGTCCATCGCTGGCACGTCTAGCCGCAAGCACTCCAAGTTGAGCGGTGCGCGCCCATAGAGCGTCGCGTCGGACTCTTCTCGGCACTCGAGGACGGCGCCGGCGGTGTCGAGGATGGCGTTGACGAGGTCGACAGGCAGGCCCCACAGCACGAGGAGGCAGCCAATCTCGAGGATCTCGGGCGCGCTCTGGAGGTTGTTGAGATGCATCCGGGCCGTCAGCGCTGGCGCCAGCGGCTCGACTCGAGACACATCGTCGGCGTCGACGAGCCAAATTGGCAGCGACCGCGGCTCGCCGCGGAACATCAGATTTTGCAATACAACACTAAACCAGGTGTTTGACTTATGATGTCGTAAATAGTGTATGTTGAAGTTGCTGTGTGATGGATCTTGAGGGGGCACAACGGAGGAGGAAGCGGACACGGTTGGATGTGCCACGTTCCGCCGTCGTTCGTGGTGCATCAGCGGAAGACATCCACGGTGTTCGATACAAACCAGATCATTCCGTAAATCGGATGAGGCGCTACGATGGTGGCGGGCGAATCTTCCTGCAGTCGACCATGGCGGCGGGCATGGTGGCTCGACCTCTGCAAGTAATTCGTACATGAGATACGTGCTCGTTCAACTCAAAGATCGTATTGAACAAATCAAAGCTCGTCGATGCACTCCTATGCATTCGCGAGCATGGCCACACACGTATAATCCTATTGAAAGATCGATTGTACCATCAGGGATGGAATGCAAATCTTACATCGCCATCTTGTGGGTACCTCCTTGGGCATCCGATGGAAACGAGCCCGCTGATACTTGCGACGCTCTGGTGACGCATCTCACAGAGCATCTCGGCGTCAACACCGCCATCAACCACCATGAACGTATCCAGACGCAAGGAGTCAACACTCTCGCGTCATCCCAAGCTACCAGACTTTAAAAAGACCTCGGGTAGTACAGCCGATGTGTTGAAAGTCCGCTGCGAGTGCCGTGAAGCGTGCAGTGACCGCTTGAACAGTCAGGGCCATTCCGTAGACACATGGTTTGGGTATAGCAATTCCGTGATCGGTGGATCACTATCAACTTGATACCATTGTGCTGGCTCGCCCATACTAGACGACACATGCTCACTGGAATCGAACTCGCCCATGAACCAACGTTGAGGAGGCGAGTTGGTCGCGGACAAGGCATCTTTCTTGCAGCTAAAGACGAAACAACCTTCAAAAATAGCGTCGAAAACATGCTGACGCGCGAGCGGGTGATGCCGGCCGCCCAGAGCGCGGCGCACTCGATTCCACCGCAGTACATTGCACTGCTCGAGGTCGACGGGAAACAACCCAAGCGCCTCGAGAAGGTGCGCGCGACCTCCTTATTCTCTGTCCACGCAGCATGTGAAGTATGTAGGTGTTTGACCGGCTCCTGCATCAGCGGTCGCTGGCGTCGCGTGTGCACGCGTATACAAACTGCTTTGTGGATGTCGAGATGGAGCGCACGTACCAAATCTGGAGTGTCGCGTACTATGTGCGCACGGCCCGCATCGTCTCGAGCTGCGTCCTCGCCTTCCACCTCGTGCTCGCGCTCCTCGACAGCCTCCTCTTTAGGTACACGAACGATCGTTGATTGGCATCATTGCTACATGCAAAATGCCCGTAGTCACTCGAGCTACTTGGTGAAATACGGCAAAACCGAGATCTTTCAATGGTGCTACATCGTGCTGATTTTGCCGTTGCTGGCAACCGCGGCGCCGCGCTGTCAGCATCCTCGGTACGTTGTCTACGTCCGGCACTGGAAGGTACCATTGGAGTATACTGCGGAAGAGGGCTGGAAGCCGTGGCTAGTGGATCGTATCCATTGCCATGACGCTGCTCGCCGCCGGGCTCATGGTGCGAGCAGGCTGCATCTACGACGCCAAGCTCAGCTACGTCGCGACAGAGTACTTCACAGCATCCCCGTCTGGTCCAAAAAACCAACATAGTCAATAGGCTTCGCGCAGTCCTACCAAGTTCACTCGAGTAGGCTCTCTTCTCCACGAGTTTGCAACGATCATGGTGGTTGAAGTAGACTCGACGCCACGCTAACCCTGGCGCTCAGCAGCAACGACGACCTCGTGATTGCAAGCGACGCCATCATCATCTTCCTCGCGCAGGTAATTCAAGGATATTCGAGTATTGGATGAACTTTTTATTTCATGTCTAGACGGTCGTCGCCGCAACCCACTGCGACCTCGTGCACCTTGGCGTCATCTACGCTGGCTCCCTCCTGGCCATGCTCATCAACGTCTTTTACTGGAACATCAACGCCCACGGCGAGGTCGGCGACGCTTTCGTATCGGGTTGACCTCTCAAGCAACTGTAGACCTATGTGTTGCTCTGTGCCAGCGGCGTCATCTGCCTCGTGCTTGTGCGGGAGCTCGACAAGTCGCACCGAAGGAGCTTTTACCAGTATTACACCTCGGAAGTGACCAACGAAGTGCTGCGCGAGTCCCTCGATCAGGTGAAAAAACGTCATGCGCTTCCTCTTGACAGAGCTCGACGTAGATGCTTGAGCTCGTCGTCTTCGACGAGTACAAGGCCGAAGAAAAGGCCGTGGTGGAGAAGCACTTGAACGCGCAGTCGGCATTCCAGGAGCGGCTTCAGGTATTACGATAAATATCCTCGTCGGTCCATTCTTCGGACGCAACCATTAGCCGTACCGCATTCCGTTCGAGCACCTCTCGCTGCAGCGCGTGATCGGGAAAGGCGGGTTTGGGGAGGTCATTCTCGCCGACTACTTTGGAACGCACGTCGTGCTCAAGCGCATGCACCGGCACAAAATCTCGGACGCAGCGATATCCGAATTCGCAGCCGAGATCCTTCTCATGTGCGACCTCCGGCACCCCAACGTGGTTCAGTTCATCGGTGCCAGCTGGAACACGTATTCGGTACTTGACTCTTTTAAAATGCACACGTTGTCTATTCTCGACTAGAACATTGGCTTTGTACTCGAGTACGTCGGCCACGGCGACTTGTACCTCGTCATCCACGACAAGCGCATCGCCAAGTCGTGGAGTGACCCGTTCCATCGGTCCCTTTGCTTCTCTTAATCTTGCATGTGGGTTGGCATCGATGACGTCTAGGATTGCGGTCGATGCGGCGCGCGGCATTTGTTATTTGCACAGTAAATCACTTCTGCACCGCGACCTCAAGAGCACCAACGTGCTCATTAGCGCCACGTACTCGGCCAAGGTACGAATGTCCTCCTCTACCGTCGCTATCTCGATACGTAATCCGTGAGATTTGTGATTTGGGCATGACCAAGTCCATCTCGGAGCTCCAAACGACCGAAAAACAGGTTGGCACGCCGCTCTGGACGGCCCCCGAGGTCGTGCTCGGAGGCCATTTTAGCCCAAAGTCGGATGTCTTCGCGTTCGGTATAGCGTACTTGATACACTGAAACAATCCGGACACGACGACGCGTAGGCATCATTCTCTGCGAGCTCCTAACGCGACGAACGCCGTACCATGAGAAGCGCGGCAGCTCACCGTACAACGTACCTTGATACTCTGATATATTGCACCTTCGAGTTGTCGGCGAGACATGTCGCATTCGTGGTAGATCATGCTGGCGGTCGCCAATGACGGCTTGCGACCGACACTGCCCACGTGGCTGCCTGGTCCGCTGCGGCACCTTGTCGATGTATGTCTCTCTTCGTCCATGCCGCCGAGGAAACAATATTTGGGCTAGTCGTGTCTCGCGGCAAAGCCTGAGGACCGACCAGTGATGCTGGACGTCCTCTCGTCGCTCCAAGCGAATGGCATGCACCAGCTCCAGGCCGGCGACCAGTGGGCCAAGGTCCAACACCTCGGTACGTCCCTCTGGTTTCATAAGAACTAGTATGGTATGCGCAGTGCACGAGCACGCCCACCGCACGACGAGCTTCTCAATTGAACTCGTGGGCCGGGCCCGCGACCAAGCGGCACTCGAAGCCTACACCAAGGCCACAGCGTTGCACACGTCCGACGACTCGGAGAACGATGCCACCACCCGGACACCCGGTCTTGGGACAGAGCTCGCCAGTGCCATCGAGACGGTCGTCGAGACATGGGGTTAACTTATTGCTTCCTTCTCTACGAACGGACCAACGTTGCGCTCTCACAACACATTTTGGTGTCTCAACTCCTTTACGTGTGCTTAAAGCGTCGCTCTATGGAGGACGGCGCCCTTAGACAATACCAGCGTCGTCGTCGTCCTCCATCGTCGCCGTTCGAGCTTCGAGCTGCGCATTCCACATCTGCGCGTACCGGCCGCCCTTGCGCGCCATGAGCTCGTCGTGCGTCCCGATTTCGAGCACCGCGCCCTTTCCGAGCACGACAATCTGGGAGGCGTGGCGCACCTACATTTGTCGTCTGATTCGCATATGCTACCAGAATTTGG